GTAGCCCAAGAGTTGGCAGTGGGTGGTGATGACTAGCTACCTTCCCTCTAGTCTTGCACTGCTAAATTAGGGACAGCTAGCGCAGATAGCCCTCGTGTAGCTTTGCGCGAAATTCAAAACAAACAAACACATACTGTATTTTCTTCTCTCGTTAGAGTTTATATGTGTATCTATTTTTTTTTCTCTCTCTCTCTGGTTAGGGTTACAGTATTACAAGTATGACAATCAAAAGCTTTCAGTAGCTGAAGGCTATCCAAAGAAAATTGAAGACAATTTCCGTGGCATTCAGGGTTCCAGGTTTTCCAGTATACCAGGAAACATTGACACTGTGTTCTTCGACCAAAGAGATGGAAATTTATATTTTTTCAAAGGAAAATACGTAAGCATTGAAGTTTTATTTATTATTGAGTTAAAACCTAATATGCGTATTATTTACGTTTGAAGATGGCGCTTTTGAAGCATGTCGTTAATAATTCTTAGTTATAAAACGAACATCTTGTATAACATACGGCCAATTGGTATTTTAACAAGTATAAGCAAGATCTTGATTTAAACTGTATTTGTATCATTGATCCATAGTAGAAATATATCTGCAGACTTTAAGATATTAAGATATTGTTTACCATTAATTGCATGGCCATATTCTACAATGGCTGGACCTGGCATGGCCAGGGGGTTAGGGTGCTCGACTCGCAATCTTGGGTCGCGGGTTCTAATCCCCGCCCCACCACATATGCTCGCCAATTCAGCCTTAGGGGCCTTATAATGTGACGGTCAATCCCACTATTCGTTGGTAAGAGAGTAGCCCAAGAGTTGGTGGTGGGTGGTGATGACTAGCTGCCTTCCCTCTAGTCTTGCATTGCTAAATTAGGGACGGTTAGCGCAGATAGCCCTCGTGTAGCTTTGCGCGAAATTCAAGTCTTAATTATTTCTAAAATAATGTTTTGTGCTGAAGTACTTCATTTTACAAGAGATATTTGTGGTTTGATTCAAAAATATTTCTTTTATTTTGATTTCTATAATGGCTCCGTTTAAAGATCGTGTTTTTATAAATGCGCTTAAATACCCACCTATTTCACATGGGCTTAAGTTTAACCCTCAAACTACGAACTTCCTTTTTATACCTTGAGGACACACATTGCAACTTATTGAGTAATTTTTTTTTTCTTTTTGCTTGTTACAACACCAAATGTGAAGGACAAACAGAACAACTTGAGTGGAACCAGTTGTTTTCTGTGTACAAACACACAAACAATTCAAGCAGGCATGAAGAAGATTTAAACAATATTGATGGTATTTTGTATTCATTTTTAGTGTATAATTTATATATTGTTAGGTAACCAACAAAGTCACGTGGAGTTCCATTAGTTCTTGTAGGTTAAAATATTTCGTTGTTTACACTGAAAACGTTAATTAGACAGGCCTTTTAAAAATATATGAAATTTCGAATTTCTTTTAAATTAGAACTTATAACACGGTACATTTTGAGGACGTACCCATAACCTAGGTAACACCGTACATTAAAATGATGTGCCATAACATAGGTAACATCGTACATTATGAGAACGTACCCATCAGCCACATAAGCCTATATAACATATACGTACCAGTAATGTTCAATAACAACTAATTTAAATACATAAAGACTGACTTAATGTGATAACAACTACATTACTTATATATAACCTTCGTTAAGCCTACTGTACAGACTGAATGTGATAACAACTACATTACTTGTATAAAACCTTCGTTAAGCCTACAGTACAGACTGAATGTGATAACAACTACATTACTTGTATAAAACCTTCGTTAAGCCTACAGTACAGACTGAATGTGATAACAACTACATTACTGGTATAAAACCTTCGTTAAGCCTACAGTACAGACTGAATGTGGTAACAACTACGTTCATTATATTAAACCTTCGTTAAGCCTACAGTACAGACTGAATGTGATAACAACTACATTACTTGTATAAAACCTTCGTTAAGCCCACAGTATAGACTGAATGTGATAACAACTACATTACTTGTATAAAACCTTCGTTAAGCCTACAGTACAGACTGAATGTGATAACAACTACGTTCATTATATAAAACCTTCGTTAAGCCTACAGTACAGACTGAATGTGATAACAACTACATTACTTATATATAATCTTTGTTAAG